TTCCATCATGACCATAAAAAATATCTCCAGACATTGCAGAATGTTTCCTGGCAGGTAAAATCATGGCCAGCTGAAAACCACTACTCTAGTGGATCATGGGCATACAGTAGATGCTCAATAAATACACTGATTGTTCCTGTGTTAAGTGAAGGAAGAACACTTACACCATCATCAAAATCATGGAACAGGAAGCAAGGTACTTTCTGTGGGGTTTGCTGCTATGTACTCAACTCCTTCCTATATGCAGTTATGAAGAATAGCTTGATATTGACAATTAATTCTCCCACCCACCCACCTTGTCTATAAAACTTTCACCAAGGTTGTTAAAAAAATGAATATCACATCCTCATTTTAGTCTTTCTAACTTATCAACAAATAACCAATGTGAGGAACAGAAGAGAAAACTGTGGCCAGACACTGATATATGTGTACTTAGAAAATATTTATTAACTAAATTAATACTTTATTGTCTCTTTCTGGAGGCCTTACTCTAATACCCATTATTCTCTAGGAAGTCCTCCATATAATATCTGAAGCTTTTGAATTGTCTTACTGCTATATATTACAGATATAGATGCATACAGATATACACAAATAGGTAAAATTCATTTAAGTTACCCCCAATATAAAATGGTTCATATAGGTAATGGGTAATAATAGGCTAAATTGAATATAGTTTCTATAATGTTTTCTCCATGGTAAAACAATATTTTATAAGAAATGAAGAAATAATAATGAAACATGGGGTACCCTGCTTAACATATAATACCAATTCTTGCCCCTAAAGCAGTGTTTCTTTGCTAGATCTCTGGTTGGCAGTCACTTAAAAATAAAAAAAAGTAATAAATTTAGTTTTCCAGAAAGGTCTGGTTTAAGTGCCAATCTCTTTTTCAAAATCTAAGCTTGGATATAGTTCTTTAATGTTGCTGACCACTGTAAGTTGCCATAAATACACCAAGATAAAAGTATCAAGTATTATAAAAGTTTCCTACTATAAAAACAACTTTGGAAAGAGAAAGTAAATTCAAAACAATGCACAATACATTATTATGAGGCTAGAAGATACGTCCATGCCATTGAGCAGTGGTTCTCAGTGGAGCATGTGGGGTGGAGGGTGCCTCCAGGAGACGTTTGGCAATGTCTGAAGACAATTTTGGTTGTTGCAACTAGGGGGTGCTACTGGCAATTATTAGATGAGGCCATGGGGGTTACTAAACATCCTGTAATGTACAGGACACGCCTCACAACAAACACCCAACCCAAAATGTCAGTGCTGAGACCAAGAATTTTGCTGAGTTAGTGAATTTAGAAATCAAGACAGGGGATGGGACCCCTTCAATTGAAAAGTAAATGTAACACATAAAAATACAAACAAACAACTTAGATACCCACACTTACATTAATTTGCTGTTTTTCAACAAGGATATACTTTAGATTACATTTTTTCATAAAATGAATTGATAATGCTGGTGGTGAATCTGGATCAATAGGTGCATAAGCAGCAGGGACTTGGAGAATTCTAAAGAAACAAAGTACAGAGTCAGCACAGAATATCTTTTGAAAACAATCTTACTTTAAGATATCAAATTTTTAGTTCTAAAAAATATTACCCTAAAATCCAAGAGGGTAAGTTTATCCCAGGATGGCAGTAGAGACCAATTTCCCGAATTCCTTGAAAGTCACAATGTAACAGCAGAAAATTTGATAATTCTGAAGCAGCGTTAACCACAGTCTTGTAGGTGTAATAAACTGGAGGTTGGTTGTTACACTCATCAAAACATACAGCTATTTTATCCGAATAACGGGAGGCAGCCTGATGCACCAATTCCTGAAGAGTCATTTCACTGAAGTTTATCTGAACATCACTGGTAGCAAAGAGTTGTACCTATTTCCAGAAATGTTAGGGGGACAATGAGTTTTAGGGAGTTTGCTGGGGGGCGGGAAGTAGAGAAAAAATTCTATACAATCACTCCTCACAAAAATAACTACATCAAAGACACACAGTTAAAGAATCTCTGAACTACCAACTGTCTATGGTAACTTTGCTGAGAACAATGAGGTTGAAATTTTGATACAAGCAACCTAACTCCCTGTCAGAGGTGGAAGAAAATTTGAGAGGGGAATGGTATATACCTAGATGAGGATGAAACAAGCAGAAATGTAGAATTCTCTCAAAACAGAACACAAAGTAAAAAAGAAATGAATAATAATAAATAATTACCCAAAATAAAAGCAAATTTAAAGTACCACATGCTTAATTTTTTCATTTTTCTTCAGTTGTTACAGATTGATTAAAATAAAGTGGTTACAATCCTGCATGGTAACTTTGAAAAGACTAATGCAAATGAAGTCTGCTTTTAGGAACTGAATTTAGGTGAAAGCAAAACCAACCTCTGATAGAAGAGAAAAAACCTTTACATCCATCCAGTTTTAGTCCTGTATATAAAAACTGTGCTTATTATTATTATAACACAGTAAGCCACTTTTATAATTGTTAAGAAGTAAGCTCTTCATACTCTAGTTTGATATTTATTTATTTGTTTTTTTGTTTGGTTTGTTTGACAGCTTGCAGCATCTTAGTTCCCCGACCAGAGATCCAACCCAGGGCCCCAAGAGCGCCAAGTCCTAACCACTGGACCGCCAGGAAATTCCCTCTAGTTTGATTTTTAAATTGTCAATAAGTTCATTTAAATTTAGACTCTAAATATAGTATTACAACTCAATAAAGTATTGTATCAATACAATATTCTCTGGGCTTCTCAATGAAGATTCTATAAAAAGAAAATCTGGGGCTTCCCTGGTGGCGCAGTGGTTAAGAATCTGCCTGCCAATGCAGGGGACACAGGTTAGAGCCCTGGTCCGGGAAGATCTCACATGCCTCGGAGCAACTAAGCCCGTGCGCCACAACTACTGAGCCTGCGTTCTAGAGCCCGCGAGTCACAACTACTGAGCCCGTGCACCACAACTACTGAAGCCCGCATGCCTAGAGCCTGTGCTCTGCAACGAGAAGCCACCGCAATGAGAAGCCCGAGCACCACATCGAAGAGCAGCCCCTGCTCACCGCAACTAGAGAAAGCTCACGCGCAGCAACGAAGACCCAACACAGCCAAAAATAAATAAAATTTAAAAAATTTTTAAAGTTAAAAAAAAGGAAAATCTGAAACAGTATTTCATCAAAGAAACTTTAGGGATGACTGAACAACAACAAAAAATCTTCACAACTCCTAGTATTTCCTTGAAGGTAAAGGTGATTTTTGTTTTCCTGCTGTGAAATTTATTTTCTGGATTTCAAAGCAAATAAGATTTATCAAACAGTCTATTTTAATTATTCAAGTTATTTGTTTATACTTATTTGAACTCATTTCCCTACTGATTCATCCATGTCATTTAATCAATACCAATTACAGAAAATAAAACATTTCTAAAGAGAGCAAAATGAACCAATAACTGCTGACACCCATAAGGTTTGGAAATGCTATGATTTCTAAATACAAAATTTTAAAATATAAAATAACTTTAGTACTTACAGTCTTTTCTATAAATACTAGCTCTTTCTGTGATGCACAAGATAAAATTTGTAAGCTTTCCTCATACACACAAATGACCATTACGTAAGTATAAGGAAAGCTTTTCATAACATGCACTAAAATTATGGGAATGAGTCCACTGTGCAAGTGCAGAAGGGGACCTTCTGCTTCCCTCTCCCCAAATGAATAACAAATTGCCTATACTACAGAATGTATTATACTAAAGCATTTTAACAAAAAGTTATAGTCTACACGGAAAAAAAAAGCATTGTTTTAATGCAAAAACACATCCAGCAGTTAATTTTCCACAGGAGGACAATCTAATTAATATACTATAATCTAAAATCCCTTGACATCAAAGTAAGGGGCAAGATTATAAAATGGATTACATTCTTTTTAAAAAAAGTCTTTTTTATGACAAATTACAAGATTCGCCACACATATCTATACAATAATTAAGATGTTTTTAAACTTTTAATTGCCAGTTTCCCAGTGTCTGCTATAGAGAATTAAGGCAAAATCTATTCTTGTTGTCTAAGGTTTTCATTTTCATTAACTGAATCATAAATACATTCGCTCCAATAGAGAATTTTATAATAACTGGATGCCCAAACATTTCTGGGACCATATAAGAAGGGGGCGGGGGGAAGCAAAATCTGATAAACAGATTATATATGTAATGGGATCATTAAGTTTTAAGATATTTGCTACTTTGTATCTGTAGAGGCTGCTACTTTAGTTATCAGAAGTCTCAGGGGCTCTTCCTAGGTTATTGGCTATTTTAAAGACATAAATAATCTAAAAACTTTATTTTCCCGTATCCACCGGCTTCTTAACTTTCACTAAGCAACTACGTTTAATAACAATGCACTTTATACCTTCCAACACATTTTTTCAATTGCTTTTCGAAACCACGCTAACAAGACAGGGTAGGCTTATTTCCATTCGAAATAAGGAGCAGAGGGTCTAAGGCAGGGTGAGGGGAGAGCACACGGGTCAAGTTCAGCTTTTGCACCACTCCATCCCTCCAGACACCACTGATTCAACTCCGAGGCCAGGCGGTTGCCCGGAAGCTAAGCAAACCTGTGCGCAGTCAGCCGCAGGCGTCTTCGTACTTCGCTTCCCTCGCACGTGTCCCCAGTGGATACCGCCTCCTGCCGAGACCCACTCAGAAGGCGTAGGGGTGAGGGGGTAGCGGGGAGGTCCGAGCCCGTCCGGACCTTCTCCCGACAATCCAACCCCAACACTTCTTCACATACAGCGAATAAACCAACACCTTAAAGCCGGCCCACCGCGCAGCCCACCGGGCTCTCGGCTTCCTAGAAATCTTCCCCGTCGCCTTGCTGACGTCAGCACGAGCGACCCGGGGCAAGCAGCGTCCTGCTGCCCCGCCCCTTCCCGGAGCTGCGGAGTCAATGCGAGAGAAGTGTTGGCTGCTTTGCTGGCGGGTCTCGTTTCAGATCTCAGGTGCGGCCTTGCTGGGTTTTGGACAGGGTTTGCAAGGACTTTGAAGTTGACCCGGTTGGAGTCGTACCCTTTCATATTTGCCAAGAAACTCCGGGCAAGAAACCTTAATTCCAAGCAGGTGTCTCCTCGTTCACAAAGTGGGGATAAAGATATTCCGTAGAGTTAACGTGAAGAGCGATGAAATCATTGTGAAATAAGAGTGACTGGACTTCATGCGTTGGACTTTTTTTTATAACCTGCCCTACACTGTGGGGAACTGTTCAACAATAAAGCCTGCAAACGAAGTCTCTGTCATAAGTAGGCTGACATTTTAATTGGAAGAGATGAATTTAAACGGTAACTAAGAAAATTTTAACTTTCAAACAGCTATAAAGAAAACAGGTCTGAGGAGAGTTACTTAAGCTATACGCTGAATAAAAATCTGTTTTTAAGGGAATTTTAGTTGGAGGCGTTTAAGTTAGTTATCTAAAATGTCAACAGCAATAATAGTGATATTTTTTAAAGCTACTGTGCCGGTAGCAGAGAGGAAATTGAAACCGAGTCCCCCCTACCGAGTTTATGATTAATCTCTCCCTCCACAACTGTATTCCCTTTCTTGTCCCCTCTGACCTCAATCCTGTGTTAACTGAACACTAATCAAAGTCAGATGAGTAAGACTGCTGTTGTTGATAACATCGTTAATGTACTAAAATTGCTGTTGTAGATATATGCATCATCATTAACATACAAACTCAGGATGTTCCTCCAAGGCAAGATGAGCTCACAGACCTGTATCACCTGGCCAGAATCATAAACTGGAGACAACCTGACTCACAAAACCATGATTAAGAAATGTAAGAAGACTGTGATTAACCCCAGTTTCTTTGTTCTTCCCCTTTAAAAAGTCCCTAACTCAAAGACCAAGATGGGGTGGATCTGAGATCTATCTCCCACTTTCTTGCTTGGCACCCTGCAAATAAACCCGTACTTTGCTGCAAACACCTGCTGTCAAAGAGTTTGGCTTTCTGCACCCCGCACGCAGGATCCCTTGCTCAGTTACAAAGTGATCAGGGTTTTGGTTTTGTTTTGGCTAGGGGAAGGACTGAGGAGGCAGCCGGGCATCAATAAACGATACATGAAAAGGCATAGGTTGCTTTCGTGTCCTTAGGTGTTGGTGGCAAGGAACTGTAGCAGTAATCCAAGCAAGACATACCTCCACTTGCCCATGAGACTTTCACCAAGTTGTACTATGGGTCTTTTATTTGGGGAGGGGCCACTCAAAGGTGTCTCTTTGTTTCTATATTTGGGAATGACACCATTATCCACCCAGTGAGACAGTAAAGAAACCCTAGATATCCACTCCCACCCAACTTCTTTTTTACCCTCCTGTATGCAATTAGATCCTACGTCCTCTACTCCCCAATCTCTAGACCAATGCCCAGCTGTCTATATCAGAATCGCTTGTGGTAATGTTAAACAACACAGATTCCAGATTCCTGGATCTCCATCCCAAGAGGCTCTGAATTCATTTTCTAGTGATGGAGGGGCCTGCAATCTGCATTCCTCCCCTGCCCCCCATCTGCATTCTTTAAATGATAACATCGTCATCTCCACTACTGCTATCTTAGTTCAGGTCTTCTTGGTCAGTGTTTCCCTAAAGCCCTTCCAGTCTTGCTTGGCTACAGTAGACTCTGAACTGCTGCCAGGATAATGTCTGTTTCATTATTGAAAATATCATTTTTCAATTCTGATATTAATGATAGCTTTTTTAGTTTTTTTCCCCCCTTGCAGTCTCTATTTCTTCTGTCGGTTTTGGATTCTTTCATGTTAGAGGCTTCCACGGGTGTCTGGTAATAATCATTGATTATCTGATCATATTTAAAAGTGGGCATTTAAAAGCTGATTGGAAGCTCTGAATCCGTGGAGCAAGTGTTTTGAAAATCAAGTGAGAGAAAAGGGCTGCAGGGGTGGGAGGAGGGTCTCAGAATTCAGTATAAAATTTTTCACTTAATTCTATTCCAGGTGCCTGATGTCCTCCAAAGACCCTCTGTTTTACTCTCTCCCAAACAAAACGGCCTTCAGAGTTAAGCTTAAGGGTGATGGGAGGTAGCATAAGGGTATAACTCATTCCTAAGTGAATTTCCAATCCTTTTAGTTACCATCTTTACCCCTGCTTCCAAATGCCAGTTTCTCAGTTTTTAAGGGTGCTCTATGATGTAAATAGGATTGCTTATTGGCTTTGCTCACCGCTGGTTTAGTCTAGCTTTTCCAAATCAGCTGAGCCCTTTGCTTTTTTGCTTTTTTAAAAAAATAAATGAGTTTGTTTATTTATTTATTTATTGGCCGCGCCATGTGGCATGCGGGATCTTAGTTCCCCAATCAGGGATTGAACCCATGCCCCCTGCAGTAGAAGCGCAGAGTCCTAACCACTGGACCGCCCAGGAATTCCCTGAGCCCTTTGCTTTTGATTTTAAAATTTTGTTTCTGTTATCTCTTTCGCTCTATCCTTGAGAGTTTGTGACTCTAAAAATCCCTTCACTGTCATTTTCAGGGGGTCTAAGAGGGAGCAAATGTAGACGACTATGTTCATTTTTACCTGGTAATCTAGAGCGATCATTCTAAAACATACACCAGAGCAGTAACAGCATTCTCCTGCTTAAGAAGCTTCAGTGGCCTCTCATTGCCTGGATGACATTCAGATTCTAGCAAGGTAAACAAGATAGTTCGTTATCTTTCTAGCCTAATCCCTCACAGTTGGCTACTGCTTCCTCACCCCATGCTCCACATTCCCCACACCTGGTACTGTAAGAGCCAGCTATAATAAGACCCTAGTAAGTCTTCTGAGCCTACCAAGCCCTTATCAAGTTTCCACACCTGTGCTCTGGCTGAGTCACAGGCTGAAAAACCCTTTCCCTCCCCACACCTGCTTGATCAACATTTATTCCTCTTATGAAAACAGTTCTAACATCACCTCCTCAATGCCTTTCTTCAAGCCTTGTATGAGAATTTACCTATCCTCCTCCAACCCCCATCCCATAAACCTAGCATACTGCTGGGAAAATCAATTTGCCATGGGCCTCGAGTGTCCCTGCAAATTTTTGCTGGGTACGCAAAGAATGCAAGGTACTGACTGCTCTTTATCCAGGTCATTTTTCAGGGCTGTTGGGGGTGATCAATCTTCAGAGCTGAGGTAATGTCTTCCCCAAGCAGCAAGCTTTCTTCCACTTACTGTAAAAGGAATGAATCCCCCCAAACTTAGTATTCCTTTCCTGTAACGCAACCCACTGTGTGTGCAGACATCCATCTATGTCTATCTTAGTTACCCGAGGGGGACTTAGGAGGCATGGAGAATTGACAGACATGAAGCTCCGGCTACTGCTTTTGCCATGAGTAATGAAGTTCTCTTTGACTCAGGAATCTCATGTCCGCTACCACGAAACAGTAACAAACTGGCTTATTAGATTTTAAACAGGGTACAAGCCTTCCCAAACGGTGACTTACACTTCTCATAGAACCTGTAACAGCTGCATTATTTCCAAGTCTGTCTTCATTTAATCCCTTCTTGACAGCAGAGATTCATGTGTTTTGCACCTGTTTCCTGAACTATCTTTTTACTGTTCCCCATCTATTTACTACATCATTCCAATTCCCAACAAGTATCAAATGCCTGCCCCAGTACCTTGCTGATCCTTTGCACATTTATTGGTACATTCTCATTTCACTGCTTCTCTTCAGCTACTTCCCAACTCATCTCTCAGTTGTCAATGTCATTGTTTCTTTTGAAAATAAAAATTATTTCAAAAATAATTTTGAGGGACTTCCCTGGAGGTCCTGTGGTTAAGGCTCTGCGTTTCTACTGCAAGGGGCACGGGTTCGAACTTTGGTCGGGGAAGGTCCCGCATGCCACGCAGCACGGCCAAAATAAATAAATTAAAAAAATAAAAAATACGCTTAAAAAATTTCTAAACAACAACAACAAAAAAATTTGAAAACCTTTGAGCCTACCCCAAGACAAGGTTAGGTCCCTGTTATGTGCTCTGGTAGCACTGTAGCCCACATCACATTTGGGACAAGAGTGTGTGATTTACTCTAAGGGAGCTCAGCTGCCCATGGGTTTATTCAGGTTTGGCATTTTTGTCAGGTGATTGTGAAAGAACGGAGGGATGAGGGAAGTTAGGCTCTTTGCAAGAGTGAGCCCGTTCGAGTTCTCTAGAGGGAATTCCCTGGCGGTCCAGTGGTTAGGATTCTGCGCTGCCACTGCAGAGGACATGGGTTCGATACCTGGTTGGGGAACTAAGATCCTGCATGCCGTGGCCAAAAAAAAAAATTGATGTTGCAGTCTTGAAACAGGTTGGAGACTCTGGTAGGGTTTCTAGGGTGCGGTCTTGAGAATTCTATCTTCTTCTGGAAACCTCAGTCTTTACTCTTAAGGCCTTCAACTGACTGGATGAGGCACACCCACATTACGGAGGGTAATCTGCTTTACTCACAGCCTACTGATTTACACGTTCATCCCAGGTAAAAAAAAATACCTTCCAGGCAACGTCTAGACTGGTGTTTGAACAACATGGCACCAAAGCCTAGCCAAACTGAAACATAAAATTAACCATCACATCTAACATACCAGCAGTGGAGCCAAACAAGCAATCTTCAATGATTGAGGTAGAGTGCAGGCACCCACTTGCGTCTCCGTTGTGTAATCATTTTCTGTTTGTCATAGTGCAGTGAGAAATTCTGATTCACTTTGTTATAAAGCAGAAACTAATGCACCATTGTAAAGCAATTATACTCCAATAAAGATGTTAAAAAAAAAAAAGAAATTCTAAAAAGGTTAAAAGCATTGGTTCCTGCCATCCAACAAATTCTCAGCTACATGAGAAGACAATTTCTGCACACAAAAACATAAATTTACATGGCATTTTTTGCAGTTTTCTCTAAAATGTCTGAATGAGCAGTTTTTTTCTGAGAGGGCTGGATTTTCTTTTTGACCTCTTTATGAAACATGAAGGCAATTTTCCTTAGAGGAGTTGACTACACCCTACTTGAAACCCTAAGAAAGGCATCAGAAACTCAAGTACTTGAGTTAATCATATTAATAGGATGAACTTAAGTCTACCTGTCAGAGCAAACTTTGCTAGATTCCAGGGAAGAAAGAGAGATAACATCTAAAGTTGGTACAGTAAGAAGTAAATAGTATGAGCTAATTGTTTAAAACATAGAGATTAACAACAGAAAAAATATTTAAATGTGGATGCACTACAGAGGACTGGAGAGGGCAGTGACCTCTTTATTTTCTTCATTTTTAACTATATGCATGTATTATTTTGATAGTTTTTTTTAGAGGTAGGACCCTGGTATCTTTGTTTTTAAACAGACTGTTTTTTAAAGTAGTTTTAGGTTCATAGCAAAATTGAGCAGAAGGTACAGAGTTCCCATATGCCCCCTACCCCCGCATAAAATAATCTTCCCCGTTATTAATATCCCCCCCCCGGAAGTAGTCCATTTGTTACAGGTGATCATTACACTGACACATCATTATCACCCAAAATTTATAGTTTACATTAGGGTTCATTCTTGGTGTCATACATTCTACAGGTTTGGACAAATATATAATGACATGTATCCACCATCATAGTAACATACAAAATATGTTCACTATCCTAAAAATCCCCTGTGCTTCACCTATTCATCCCTCTCCCCACCAGCTCCTGGCAACCACTGATGTTTGTTGTTTTTTTTTTTTTTTTGCGGTACGTGGGCCTCTCACTGCCGTGGCCTCTTCCGTTGCGGAGCACAGGCTCCGGATGCGCAGTCTCCGCGGCATGTGGGATCTTCCCGGACCGGGGCACGAACCCGTGTCCCCTGCATCGGCAGGCGGACTGTCAACCACTCTCAACCACTGCGCCACCAGGCAAGCCCACCACTGATCTTTTTTATTCTCTCCATAGTTTTGCCTTTTCCAGAATGTCATATAGTTGGAATCATACAGTATGTACTCTTTTCAGATAGGCTTCTTTCACTTAGTAATATCCATTTAAGTTCCCTCCACATCTTTTCATGGCTTGACAGCTCATTTCTTCTCAGACTGAATAATATTCCATTGTCTGGATGTACCACAGTTTATTCATGTACCTACTTTATTTTTATTTTTAAAAGTACTCCTCCCCAACATACACACGCAGTTTGGGAATCTAAGCCTCCTCTTCTGTGACACCTTCCCTATTCTTGCTAGTGTCTCCACAGAACTTGGCACTAACATAGCGCTTACTTAGCACTGCATTTCTATTTACTTTATTTGTCCCTCCTACTCAGCCAGCAGTTTTGCCTGGTTCATAAGAGATGGTCTATTTACTGAAATGCCTGAACCAGAGAAATAAGATATGACTAGCTGGCGCCAAGAATGGATCCTGGATGTGACTGTCACTGTGCTGTTCACTATAATGCAGTACCTGAAAGTCACTATTTAGAAAAAGTACACACACATATTTCAATGTACTCATTACATGTATTTGTCACCAACGCATCACAAGGAAGTCACAAAAAGTAGGCTTAGTTTAGTTCACAATATAGATCCTGTGAAAACACATTTCTCATTTGCTCTGCAGTTTACAATATCTATAAAAATTTAAAGCAGTTAAACAACATTTGAGATTACACTGGTATAAAATTGTAATTCATACTTCAGAAACTTGTGAAATAAAAGGCCATGATGGAGAAAGAGTAAGAAATCTGTAGAATTACCAAACTGTCACAGTATCATTTTCCTTTATAAAAGCATCTCAATAAAACAAAACTATGGAAAACACAAAAGTCATATCAGAGATTTTGGTTTAGTACTTTCCCTGAGTCTCTTGTTTTTAAAAAAATCAAAGTAAGGCTGGTTCAAAACTGACCCATAAGGTCTTGCCTCCTCCATATGCTGCCATGAGGAATACATTTAAGGCAAGAGGCTATACACACAAATGGTCCCAGGGCTTTATTCAGATGCCAGTTTGCTTGTGGTGCCACCACAGGGTTATCTGACCCACTGCTGCCCGCTGCACATGGGCTTAAAGAGCTGTCAACGTTTTCTCTTGGCCTGCCATGATACAACACATGAGACTAACTACCAAATGAAGACAAAAGATTATGGTTATTAATAAATATTACAATTCCAGGTGGATTTGGACACTATGTACACCAAATCATAGTAATAACACAGAAACAAACTTTTATGTTTTCAAAATCTTACATAAACAAGGGTTGAGGGCAAGTCATTTTAAAGTTTTAAATCTCAGATGTTAAAAAACAAAAACCTTTAAAAAAATCTAATTCATTAGATCCCAATAAAACAAAGTAGAAAAAGTGATACATTGATGCTCAGAATTAGATGAGCATGCTAACTGAAAAAAGTTGTTGTCTCCTTGTTCCATAAAATTGGCCCCTACAATGTTTCTACTTGATCATCTCATTGCATACACAGTATATTTGCAAGTGATCAAGCACTTCATTAAAAAAGCATATAATCAAATTAAGGATAAAAGGTTTGTTAGAATCTAAAGAATTATTTTTTACTTCAAATGTACCAGGTTACTTGCTGGGCTTCTACTATAAGGGCACTAAGTAGTATGGATCATACTTTCTAGTCAAATGTAGGAAAATATTTTGCACAGCCATGTTTTTACAGTCATTCTCAGAGCATCTCAAAGATAGGTTGCAAATTACTGCTGTATGTCTCCCTCTTGAAATCTCAATTGCAGACCAACGGCCAACATTTCAAAAGCTAATAATCATGCACTGTCTTAAAACTGAGGGGTGGAATAATGGCTCTAACCACCAAAATAACTGCTGCAAGTTATTTAATTTAGTAATATAAGCACCTCATTGCACAGGTGGGGAAAGTGAGGCACAAAAAGGTGTTTCTTCTGTTTTTTGTTTTTTTTAAAGAGAACTCTTGATGCTAGGTAACTTTGGGGTATAATGGATTCAAGGTTTGCATGAAATGTTATACTTAACTCACATGTCCTGTTTGCATCACAACACCTTAGTCTAACCTCTTGCAAACTCTTTAAAGCATGGACCTGGCAAATGCCACTGACCACCTACCTTCTCTGACCAGGTGAAAAAGGCTAGCCAATGCTTGAGCAAAAAAAAAGAATACCACATATTGTTGTTTTATATGTAATTAGCAAGGTTCAATTATGAAAATATTCCATAACTGAATTTCCATAACTCTCAAACATTCCACAAAATTCTCTAAGAACCTGTGGGAGAGTAGAGTACCTGGCAATCCTCTCTTGAACAGAAATTTACCGATTCGTTGCATTACTGTTGATGATCTGAAGTTAAATGTATACGATTTCTAAAAATAAAAGTACTAAACTACTAAATAAAACTGAAAGGATCATCCAAGTTCCTAGATAATACCAAAATATTTATCTAGGATTACTAAAGAAATCATAGCACTTTGGTACCCTTTTCAGAGAAAAATCTCAAAACTTATAACACAAGCATGTGGCATTTCACACTGTACCGAGTAACAGTAAATGGAGGTGTAACCATTATAACTTCTCCACTAACTTTGTGTTTTGAAACATCGTGTCTGCCCCTAGCAGCTACCATTCCAGTTCCACAGGGTATTTTCCAGTCAGACAAGCTGTACAGTGATCGTTCTTTTCAAAACATTCCAGACCATTCCCATTTTCTTGAACAATAACATCTTCCTTTGTACAATGACCGTTCTTTTCAAAACTTTCCAGACCATTCCCATTTTCTTGAACCATAATATCTTGCCTTTTCACTTTCTGTTTTTTAAATATTATCCCTTCTTGTACAGATGCAACCAGTCCTTCTACTGACAGATACACAACACTGTTTGCTCCTACAGGGGAAAGACAGGGAAAAAGGTCATGAGACTTCCTTTGGAAAGGAAGAATTGCCTTAACAGAGAATAGTTACAAACAGAAAAACATAAGCCAAAATAAAAATTTCTCCTTTAGCCCCTATCTCTCTCTCTTTTTTTTTAATTTTTAAAAATTTATTTATTTATTTTTTGGTTGCGTGGCTTGTGGGATCTTAGTTCCCTGACCCAGGACTGAACCCAGGCCCTCGGCAGTGAGAGCTGGAGTCCTAACCACTGGACCACCAGGTAATTTTCTCCATTAGCCTCTCTTAAAAAAAAAAGGCGGGGGTGGTGGTGGCTGGAGAATCAGTAAAACTCAGGGCCTTTATTATTATCTTTTTAATTTTAAATTGGAATTTAAGGGATAACAATTTAAAATAGCAGTGGAGGATTTAAGTCTACAATGGCTTCAGAAGGCTTTAGGAGTCATTTTCTTGAATAACAGATCTTGAAGTCCGAAAGACTTCAAATTTAAGCTCAAGGTCACTTACTTTTCCTAAGACTTTTTTTTCAGCTATCAGATAAGGGAAATATTGCCTAATTGTAGCAGTTTTGTGATGTTATTATGATAATATAGATATGTTCCTGGCAAAGAGTGAGTGCTCACAATATATCAGTTGGCTGACATTCAAAATATTTAACTGGGGGGCTTCCCTGGTGGCACAGTGGTTGAGAGTCCGCCTGCCGATGCAGGGGACACGGGTTCGTGCCCCGGTCCGCGAAGATCCCACATGCCGTGGAGCGGCTGGGCCCGTGAGCCATGGCGGCTGAGCCTGCACGTCCGAAGCCTGTGCTCCGCAACGGGAGAGGTCACAACAGTGAGAGGCCCGCGTAACGCAAAAAAAAAAAAAAAAAAAAAATTTAACTGGGGACTTCCCTGGTGGCACAGTGGTTAAGAATCCGCCTGCCAATGCAGGGGACATGGGTTCAAGCCCTGGTCCGGGAAGATCCCACATGCCGCGGAGCAACTAAGCTCATGCGCCACAACTACTGAAGCCCGTGCGCCTAGAGCCCGTGCTCTGCAACAAGAGAAGCCACCGCAATGAGAAGCCCGCGCACCGCAACAAAGAGTAGCCCCCGCTTGCCGCAGCTAGAGAAAAGCCCGCACACAGCAACGAAGACCCAACGCAGCCAAAAATAAAATATAAATAAATAAATAAATTTACAAAAAAAAATTTAACTGGTAAGGTACAGGTATGACCAGTCAAGAGAAACAACAGCTGTAAACAATCAGTGTGGAGGTACCATACATGGATGAACATGTATGTGATATTTATAGTTTATACCTCACCTGAATTTGAAAGGCAAATGTCTTATCAAGGATAACCTCCATCTCCAAGACTTCTGACCTCATTATTAAAGATAAGCCTACATAAGCTTTTCACTTTTTGATTTGTACTCACATCCAAATTATTCTATTAGAATCTGTGGTGAAATTACTTTTGTTTTTCTTCTGATCTGACCTTTGGGAGGCTTTAACTGATTAGCAGTTTTCTCTACTAGGAAAGCCTTTCTTCCTTCTTCTCTGATCTCACCTTAGCCTAGGTGTCCATCACGGCATTCACTATGGTGTCCACACATATCAGGCTCTTTCACTATTCATCTGCTCAACACATACAACATTTACTTTCAATAAACACTGAACACTATTTTTTATTAAAAGTGTAAAGATTGACAAGCTTGGATTTTCTGTTAATAAATGAATAAAGATAAAAGTTTATAGAAATTGTAATACCTACCTAGATGATCTGAGATATGCTCAAATTCTGGTTTATTGGCAATAAGCTCTTCTTTTGTTGGTATGTTTATTCCCATGAAGCATGGATATCTAATTGGTGGTGAAGCTACGCGAATGTGTACCTTGGAAAGAAAGCATTTCACACATTCATTAGTTTGACATTCACTGTAAGAACAATTATGCAAAATTCTGTCATTGACAAATACAACATAAAATTGTTTTACAGAATACTTTAACAACATACGGGTAATAAAGCATACTAAAAAATTTCTTTCACTATAATAGGTGGAAAAGAATCCTATAAAATCATGTGATATAGATATAGAACTCCAGTGTTCTAAAAGTAATTCTACTTTTAGAATTAATTCATTACCAAGAATCCTACTTGAGCAGCCCTGTCCTAGACTCCAAAGTGTCCTGAACAAGAATTTCAAAATGTTAGTCACTTGTAAAGGGTTCTTTTTACAGAGATGCCCATTGTTTCCTTCTGTCACCTACTAACAAGCACATTTCTTTCTTCTGATCTGTCATTTCTCATTTATTATATTCCTAGGACCATCTTCATTTTTTCCTCTAACACTTGAATGACACTTTTGCCTACCTCTTATTTAACCTTTTTAAAAAGAAAAATAACATCTACCAGGATATAATAAAAACCTTACTACTACTACAAAGAGCTGTGTTTGTCTATTTTTTTATCTATCATTATTTTCTGCCTTTTGTCAGGAACATTTACACAGCTGTAATCAGTGTCTACATTTACTTTTTACCTTTCTTGTAACAGCAAAGATTTTCCCATGTTTTGCAGTCTTCATAATTATAGTTTTTAATGGTTGCATCGTATTTCATCATACTGATGTATCAATTTACTAAATTATTTCCTGCTGGTAGATATATGAGCTATTTCCAGTTCTTTGTTTGTTTATTTGTGTCTATTCTTTTTTACTATTGTAATGCTTTCTAAATAGACTGTCATACTGCTTTCTATACCATTTTCTCCACAATAGATTTTATTTCTAAATCTGATCAACTATTAGCTGTAAATGACAGCTCACTTCAGTAATTTGAATTACTGAACTATTTAGTTAGAATAAGCTTTGAGATTTGAAAATATAACCTAATGTGTCAAATTTATTACACTAGGATTGCTTCCATATCTTCAAAAAGAAAAAGTAATCAATACTCTACAAATTTAAAAGTATTCTATTTTGTGGTTTGTTAGTTTTAAAATTAGGTTTATAAAACTTTTAACATAAAATTTTCATGACTATCATATTGTAATTATTGGTGCTTTAGGATAGGTGTTTTAATATTACTTACCTCTTTTGCACCAGATTCTTTGAGCAATTTGATTATGGGTGAAATGGTATTGCCTCTCACAATTGAATCATCTACAAGAACAATTCTTTTGCCTTTAAAGTTGTCCGACAATACTCCAAATTTTTTCGCAACACCAAGTTGTCTTAATCTCATGTTTGGCTGAATGAATGTTCTTCCTACATACCGGTTTTTACATAGCACCTCCACATACGGAAGCTCACACTGACAGAGAAGGAATAAAAGTACAATGAGCAGCACATACACAGAGAACTCTAGGGTTCTGTTTTCTCTAGGTCATGCTTCCGTTATAACATCTACGTAAAAAATTTTAAATGTGGTTGTTATTCTGAGCTCTCCATCATCAGATTATAATTTTCCTTCACTATTTAAACTGTAGGGAAGAAAAGGCAAAAAGAAAAATTATTGAAAGTCCTCTACTTAGTAGGAAAAACAACTCATTTTGCTAGAATTTGTAATGCTTCTTTCTTCAACACATATTATTTCTCTATCTTGGAAAAGAACACCAAGAATGTGAACACATGACAAAGAATAAATCACTGTCAGAAAAATTCACATATTTAAAAATTGTCAGCAGGAAATGAATTAAAACCGGTAGGCTAAGGAGATATTTTCTGAGGGACAGGAGGTGACTTATCCATCTAACAAGGTAATACTTGTCTAAAATGTATGCATATTATTTCTTTTAAAAATTCACAAACTAAACTTTCCAACGTAGTGAATGTTGGGTATTATACACCAGGATCACTATAATTACATATCCTACCTGGTTATGAAAAATGAAATTAAGCATAGTACTAAGAACATTATACAAAATTAACATAAACAACTTTATTATCACCCACACTCAGTAGGGAATAAATACACCAGTGGTTTGTGAAGGTACTTAATAATAAGCAAATATTACCACTAAATTCTACATATAGTCATGATATTATTTTTTTTAAATGAAGGGGATCGTTTTCCTAGTCTTTGGGTAAACTTTTTGTGGAACCATTAAAAAATAGTGCCACTGAATGAAAAGACTGGAAAATAAGTAACTCTTGCAAAAGAACCAACACTTTCTTTTTCCTTACAGTAAATTGATGAGTTTCTCTTTATATACATGGACTTCTAATCTCAGTGCTAAATGAGCAATTCACTGTGTGTTAATTAAGAGAAAATACCTTTGCTGCGTAACCAAGGGCAGCAGGCGTAGCAGATTCCGGGACAGTGCTAACTAAATCCGCATCCACAGGGGCTTCAATTGCCAGCTGCAGACCACAACGGTATCTTACTGTGTAAACCATTTGGTCTGGAATGTTTGGAAAAGGAAACAAATTTTTACTTAGTATAATATAGCACAGCATATCACTATTCTAAGAAACTAGCTTGTTAGAACTCTACATAATTGAGCGTGCAGCAACAAAGACTCAACACAGCCAAAAATAAATAAATAAATTAATTAATTAATTGAAAAAGAAAAGCAAGACAAAAAAACACTAAAGTGGAAACACATAAACTGGGGGAATTCACTCTTTAAAAAGAGAATTAACCTTAATACATATCTGAAAATCATAATCCTTACTCCTAAAAGGAAAACAAAATCCAAGAGTCAGATGAAAAGGAAAAACTGTGATCTTTTATGACTTGTAAGCTCAGTCCCAAAATTCACAACATATAACTAGGTGCCTTCAAAGAACCAGGTAAGCCTTTGGGCCCAAGAATTGTCATGTTTCAATGAGGTAAATAATAGATTTATATCAATAGTTAGAGATACTTTACTTACCTTCAAATATACTATCTGGTCTTGCAAAATAAACATATTCAAAGATACAGAAAGCCATTGGGTTTCCTTCAGACCTTGGTATAATATCAAGAGTTTGGATATTATGTCTGGATATTTCCACAATTTCTCCAGGCAAGATTTCACGGTAATATCTTGGGAAACAATATTAAAGAAGACTAAAAATAAACCACTCAAATTAAGGCAAATTATCTGTTATAAAGCACACAGAGTCCCTTCCCTTATAAAGGAAAAATGGCTCAATTTAAAATAAAGTCTATTGGCTTAAAAAATTAAAAAGTAGTATTCCTGGGCTTCCCTGGTGGCGCTGTGGTTAAGAATCCACCTGCCAATGCAGGGGACACGGGTTTGATCCCTGGCCCGGGAAGATCCCACATGCCACGGAGCAACTAAGCCCGTGAGCCACAACTACTGAAGCCCGCACCTAGAGCCCGTGCTCCCCGACAAGACAAGCCATGACAATGAGAAGCCCGCGCACTGCAACGAAGAGTAGCCCCTACTCGCTGCAACCAGAGAAAGCCCACACACAGCCAAAAATAAAAACAAATAAATAAATAAATTTTAAAAAAGAAAAGTAGTATTCCTCCAGCAGTAATTTCCATAAATCTGTTACCCCTAAATTCAAATTTAGAATTAAAAAAATTAAAAGCCCTATATTTTATTGATTTTTAAAAGCATGAAGTCTAAAGAGAACATTTTTATCCTGGCTTAAATTTTTTGCTCGTAACTATTACTTGTTGAGGAGATTCTTCCTTTCTAAAATAAGTCTCATGGTATTTTGAAAACAGGATGCCAGTTCCAGGATTAGAAGGTATTACTGGGACATTAATGTCAGTGCAACTGCTGAGCACAATGCACAAAAGGAACTGCATTTATAAACATGTATTCTTGCAGACATCAGAAAAAAAAAATTTTTTTTATCCATGTGGAAAAAGTTGATGTGCTGAGTGAGATAAAACTTACCTTGCACCAATAGATAAAAAGCTACAAGATTCTGAAGACACCACCCATCCTTCTGTTTCTGAAGACTTTTTTTCTGTAAATCACAAGACAATCGATTCAGTTACTGAATTCAAGAAATTTTAAAAGAGGCTACATATTTCAAGAGAACAGCTAAACACCAAATAGATAAGCAAAAGAGCTCACAGAATATCCATTACTATGACTTTAAGAGCATATGGTTCCTCATTTGACTAGAACCAAAGATAAAATTAATAATCCCAAGATTCCTTCAAACAATATGGTTTCATGGCCTGAATAAGACATCTGATAAGTCAAAAAGAAAATCGCTGAAATCATACTGCACAAATGAAAAAGCTGGGCAAAGGATATGAATAGGCCACTCAGACAGGACAAAACAGGAAAGTCCACTAAATATATTAAAAATGGCTCAGCTCAGAAATACTCAAGGAAATGTACTTTGAAAACTAAGTGTCATTTTTTTCCTTTTTACCTAGCTTTTACTCAATAAGCTCCTTATACCTACAGATTTCAGGGTGTGCCAATAGTAGGACAACGACTTGGGAAAGCATTATAAAATTATATTTCTTTTGAAGTTCATTACCTTTATCATTTATATCAGATACAGGAATAAGACGACCAATGCACAGAGGACGATTTCCATAAGGATCTCGTACTGCATAAATCACATCTCTGTGCATTATAATCAGAGAGTATGCTGTGGGTGCTTCCTTCATTAAGTTTTTAATCCTGGAATCAATTAAATAATTGAATGAATAATTTTAGTTACAAACACAAGCAAGACCAAGCTCTCATTACCAGACCTGCACACTCGGCCTACTTTTACCATTACCTTGCCACCCAGTCTGGGGTGTCATCTTGTTCCTGAGGAGGGGTATACGCCAGTAACTGGGTGATCATTTCGCTATCAGAACTTGTTGACAGACCAATACCGTGACGCAGAAGCTATTTGGAAAGGAGAAAAGTTGCAGTCATTAGAGGGGAAGCTTTAACTCACCCCTCACCCAATAGCCTGCCATCACAGAAAGAGATCAGGCATCCTGTAGATGCTCAGTTAAGGAATCCTGCATCCTACCAATGGTAGGTATGTATGCATAATAACGGAGAACCGCTGCTGGAGGCAATGGGAAGTCTCTGAATCTTTTCAAACAGGAAAAAAAGGGGAAAAAAAATGTGCTTTAGGAGGTATACAGGAAAGGTTTTGAAAACTAAATTTGATGGAATGTAGACCTGCAGTGGGTGGCTGGAGGAGGGGGACGGAGAAGGCATGAGGGTTTGGGATTATGGTTCTAACTTTTTCAGCCCTCGACACTCCTGAGAGAAAGGACACATTCCTGTAAGAGTGGCACACTGCAGTGCAGACTCTCAACTCAGGTTTTTTGGTGGCGGCGATGGTGGTTATCCATCCTCACTGATCATCCCCGATGCAGCGAAATGTGTAGAGGTGAAGTCTAGCATCTGGGTAAGGGGTTAGGCGAAAAATAATGCCCTGGGTATTGTTTAGAATGGAACTTCCAGTGGTACCTCTAAATAGTGAGTTTTTAAATAATTTTTACTTCATATTTATATTTTTTAAATTGTCTGAATAAAAAATTTTTTTTTCATTTTGGAGCAAAAAAACTGTATTATGGTAACGACAATGGCAGAGGCTAAGAAGAGGGCAGGACAAAGTTCTGGGAATACTTAAATCAATTTTACAAATCTCAACTCCAAAGCAGTGCATCAGAATCACCTTAGGAGCATATTAAAATGCAGACTCAGCAACCGGCCCCTCCCCAGACTCTGGCGGGGGCGGGGGGGGCGGCGGGGCGGGGATCTCTTAGAATTTGTAATTATAACAAGTACTCCAGCTAATTCTGATACAGTTGTTCTTTGAAGTTAGATAACAGGTAGCAACAATAGGTAATACCCTTTTCCAAGCTCCTCAATAACTTCTTCTCAGTAATTTATTACAATCATGAAAATGCATTAAAAAAACCTTACCTTTTTCCTTAAGCGAGCAGCATTTACCAATTCGCCATTATGTGCCACAGCTATTTTCCCATGAAGTGTTTCAACAACAAAGGGCTGGCAATTTTCTAATTCACAGTTTCCTTTAGTGGCGTACCTCGTGTGTCCAATTCCAAGATTTGAAGTATATAATTTCTTCAAATTGTCTTCAGTAAAGACGTGATTTACAAGACCCATTCCCTTGCAAAGTCAAAGTAAGAGCTCATTTTAGGGAAAAAAAACACTAGCAGCATTTTTATATGCCTTTGCTCAGACAATCCCAAATTAGAAAATGAAGTTCACTTAATTTCTCTGTGCTGCAGAATTCTAATCTTAAAAAACAAAGGGGGTGGGCTTCCTTGGTGGCGCAGTGGTTGAGAGTCCGCCTGCCGATGCAGGGGACACGGGTTCGTGCCCCGTTCCGGGAAGATCCCACATGCCGCGGAGTGGCTAGGCCCGTGAGCCACGGCTGCTGAGCCTGCGCGTCCGGAGCCTGTGCTCCGCAATGGGAGAGGCCACAACAGTGAGAGGCCCACATACCGCAAAAAAAAAACACAAAAAAACAAAGGGGGGACTAACCTAATTGTAAAAACTGTGATGCATTAAAATATATATTTGAGGTGAAATTCACATAACAAAATTAACCATTTTAAAATGAAAAATTCAGTGGTATTTAATGTGGTCACAATGTTGAAGTGCTTGTTTTATAAGATACTTTTTGATAAAACATTGAAGAACAGATGTACTAAGCGTTAACATTTGTCAAATACAATAAACTAAATTATTTGTAATTTTAAATTAAAGCATGTTAAAGTATTCAAATAAATGACTTGTCTGAGTCAGTCTAGCAAATCATCACTGGGAGAGAAATAAAAATAGTAATGACAAATAGAAGTGGTTGACCCTTGAACAATATAGGCTTGGACTGCACAGGTCCACTTTTTCATGGATTTTTTTCAATAAATATATCAGAAATTTTTTTTGGAGAGTTGCAACAATTTAAAAATACTTGGCAGATGAACCGTGTAGCCTAGAGTAACTGAAAAAAATTAAGAAAAAGATGGGTATGTCATAAATAAAATATATTTAGATACTAGTCTATTTTACCATTTACTACCACAAAATATACACAATCCTATTATAAAATGTTAACATTTATCAAAACTTATGCACACAACAAACACAAACCATAAACTGCTATTTGCTGTTTCGAGAAATGTAAACAAACATAAAGGTGCAGTATTACATCATAACTGCATAAAATGAACTGCAGTCCATACTGTAATACTGTAATAATTTCGGAGCCACCTCCTGTTAATATTTGCAGGGAGCTCAAGTGCTGCAAGTACCCACTTAAAATTCCATGTGACACTAATCCTCTCCGGGTGAGCCCTTCATCTCTACCTCAAGTTGCCTATTGCAGTAAAAAGTCTCCTCTCCCAGTTCCTGCGTATTTTTCTTCGTGTTTACTGCAATACCGTAAATCTTGAGTAACACCGTGGGACCCATTCAAAGTGCCACTAGTGATGCTGAAAGTGCTCCCAAGAAGCAGTCACAACTTTACAAGAAAAAGTTGAATTGCTTGACGTCTACTGTAGATTGAGGTCTGCAGCTGCAGCTGCCCCACCATTTCAAGATAAATGAATCCAGCATAAAGACCATTGCAAAAAAAAGAAAAGGAAATATGTGAAGCCGTTGCTGCAGCTATACCAGCAGGCACAAAAATCTTGCACTTTTTGTGAAATACCCTTTTATCTCATATTGAAAATGCAGCTTTTATGTGGGTGCATGATTGCTATAAGAAAGGCGTACCTATCTAATATGATTCAAGAAAAAGTGAAGTCATTTTATGATGGCAATGCAAAAGGAAGGTGAAGGATCTAAAGCTGCAGAATTAAATGCCAGCAAAAGATGGCTGGATACTTTTAGGAAGAGATTTAGCTTAAAAAATGTCAAGATAACAGGAGAAGTGACTTCTGCAGACCAAGGGGCAGCAGGCAAGCTCCCAGACAGCATTAAGAAAGTCATTGAGGAGAAAGGATATCTGCCTGAACAGGTTTTTAACGCAAAAAAAAACAGGTTTTATCGCAAAAGTGACCTATTGTGGGAAATAAAATACCACAAAGGACATTTATCAGTAAGGAAGTGAAGCAATGCAAACACCAGGATTTAACGCAGTAAGAGATAAGCTAACTCTCCTGTTTTGTGCAAATGCAGTCAGGTTTAGGATCAGGGCTGCCCTTATCTATAAAGCTGCTAACACCCCCTCCCCCACCCCAAGCCTTAAGGGGAAAATATAAACAGCAGCTGCTAGTCTTTTTTTTAAAATAAATTTATTTATTTATTTATTTTATTTTTGGCTGCATTGGGTCTTTGTTGCTGCGCACGGGCTTTCTCTAGTTGTGGCGAGCAGGGGTTACTCTTCGTTGCATTGCGCAGGCTTCTCATTGCGGTGCACGGGCTCTAGGCATGCGGGCTTCAGTAGTTGTGACACACGGGCTCAGTAGTTGTGGCTCACAGGCTCTAGAGTGCAGGCTCAGTAGTTGTGGTGCATGGGCTTAGTTGCTCCACGGCATATGGGATCTTCCTGGACCAGGGCTTGAACCCATGTCCCCTGCACTGACAGGCGTATTCTTAACCACTGCACCACCAGGGAAGTCCGGCTGCTAGTCTTTTAACACATGGTTGTACAACAAGAAAGCCTGAACAACAAGAACACTTTTTCTGGACTGGTTCCATCAATGCTTTATCCCTGAAGTCAGGAAGTACCTTGCTAGTAAGGGATTGCCTTTTAAAGTTCTTTTGATATTGGACAACGCCCCTCCCATCCAGAACCCCATGAGTTCAACACGGTCAGACCCAAGTGGTCAAAGTGGTGTGCTTGCCCCCAAACATACCTCTAATTCAGCCTCCCTATCAGGGGATCATAAGGACCTTCAAGGCTCATTACACAAGGTACTCTATGGAGAGCACTGTCTACGCCATGGAAGACAAACCCAACGGAAAGAACATCATGAAAGCCTGGAAGGATTACACCACTGAAGATGCCGCGGTTGTCATAGGAAAAGCTGGAAAAGCCGTCAGGCCTGAAACAATAAATTCCTGCTGGAGAAAACTGTGTCCAGATGTTGTGCATGACTTCACAGGATTTATGACAGAACCAGTCAAAGAAATCATGAAAGAGATTGTGGATATGGTAAAAAATATAAATAAATAAAAATGGTGGGGGATGAAGTGAAGATATGGATCTTGGAGAAATTCAAGAGCTAACAGTCACCATACCAGAGGAATTAACAGAAGATGACTTGGTGGAGATGAGTGCTTTCGAACCAGTGCCAGATGATGAGAAATAAGACACAGAAGAAGCAGTGCCAGAAACAAACTGACACTCTAGCAGTAGGGTTCCGATTATTCAAGACTCATTTTGGACTTCTTTTACAACATGGACCCTTCTATGATACAGGCACTGAAACTAAAGCAAACCGTGGAACAATTGGTACCACATAGAAACATTCTGGGAGAAATAAAAAAAGCAAAAAGTCAGACAGAAATTACGACATATTTCCATCAAGTTACATACAGTGTACCTGCCTCTCCTGCCTCCCTTTCCCACCTCTTCCACACCTGAGACAGCAAGACCAACCCCTCCTCTTCCTCCTACTCATTAGGAATGAAGACTACTAGGTTGAAGTCCTTTATGATGATTCACTTCCACTTAATGAAGAGTGAATCATCAACATACTGTACAGTTAATAAACTTACCTGTTGTGGATATGTGAGAGTCTTCTTGTGAAAATCTAGTAACTGTACAGCAGAAACCATATGAGACATTTCGGTGTCACCACCATCACCATTGCCTAAGTAGTCATTGTGTACAACATCATGTGGAAGACCGGTATTAAAGTGGATAGCCCATCTTTACATAGGCATAAAGTGAGTGATATTTTATAACGATTCATTTATTAGTGTATAGGCTAGGCAACCATAAAGCAATCATATTGCTTCTTCTTTGTTACCAATGCATGAATTGTTATACCTATAAATATAAATTTTTTCACATTATCTTTTCATTTTTGAGGTCTAGTGTTAGTAATACATATAACATCTACAGTGTTCTGTATTAATACTACATTAACATAGGTACTGACAGAATTTATCTTGTAAAAAGACAACTTGAGCTTATTGTATCGATAAAGGCAGTACTATACTGTAGATGTATTTTCTCTCCTCTATGATTTTAATAATATTTTTTCTCTAGCTTACTTTATTGTAAGAACGGTATATAATACATATGACATACAAAATATGTGTTAATCAACTGTTTATGTTATCAGTTAAGGTTTCCCGTCAACAGTAGGCTATTAGTGTTTAAGTTTTGGGGAAGTCAAAAGATATACGCAGATACTGGACTGAACGAAGGTCAGCGTCCATAACCTGCATTGTTCAAGGGTCAACTATACTTCTAATTACAAATTATTTTTATTCAAAGTTCCTCCCCTCACCACTATATACTAATTATCTTCGGGCTATTGTTACCTTTATACTCAACATTTTTTAATGCTTAAATATACCTTGTGTGTTTTGAATGTTGGTATCGAATTCCCATCACTGGTCACAATACCAGCACTCTCCTGACCCCTGTGAATATAAAAAGGTATCAGCTGTTAAATTTACCCCATTGATAAGCTTCTTAATGACTTTTATGAAACATACTTTTCTCAGTAACATCCATGAACTCAGTCTTACACCACATTAAATGCTACTAGCACTGGTGCCACTTCCACTCATGATGATGACAATGACAACGATTAGCAATAGCTGCAGATGAGACTGTCTGAGTTCTAACTAATATGGCAGGCACTGTCCTAAGCATTTACATGAATGATCTAATTTATTAGGCTTTGAAAACAATCCTCTGAAGTAGGTACTATGATTACCATTCACATTTTACAGAAAAGGACAACACTAAAGAAACAGAAGTAACTTGTCTAATGTCACACAGAGAATGGTGGCACAGCCAGGATTAGAACACAGACAATCTGACTTCAAAACTTGTACTTCTAAACTCTGTATTATGTGACCTCTAAATAAGGTTGAATATGTAGATATAAATAAAAAGCTCCAAATAAAGTAGCAGGTAAAATGCTTGTGGGTACTGGAATTATGAACAAAATTAATTTTTTTGTTTTGTTTTGCTTTTTGCACTCATCAAATTTTTTCTGTCAAATATCTATCACTTTTGTCTTCAGAAAATAAATGCTACTTCAAAAAAGCCCAAGCTGATGAGACACTCTGTATCTCATTTCTTGCATTAGTATTTTTAGGTGATGATACAAAGAAAGCCAGAAGCTAGGCTTCCTAGCTAGGTAGGGTAACACACTCGTAAGACTTAGAGGATCTGCACCACAGTGGAGTACAAACTCAAAAGATACAATAAAGGTTCAAAGTGCTCAACAATTTTTAATAGTTCTGAACAAGTGCTATAAATACTAGATGTTTATTAACAAATTTTTGTTCCAAAGAATATATATCAGGGTAGAAATAAAAAGTAAATCTCTACCATAATATGTATGTATACATTAACAACTAATACATGATTTATTTGGTAAAAAGGATCTTTTCCAAAATTGTAATTGTTTAGACATTTTAATGACAAGAAAAATTACAATATTAAATGTACTTGCAAAGTAAAAATCTAAAAAGTTAAAATTGAAGTGATTTTACTAAATTACCAATGCTTTAAATACTATGAACTATTATGCTGAAAACAGACATGCGTAATACTATACATCCTATATAAATGAATAATTTGTGACTTAGGATTTATTTATTTAGTGAAATGATGTGGTTTGTAGTTAACCAATGTTCAAAGACTAAGTGATTCATATCAGAGGAGAAATAAAAATGTTAGCCATAAACCTTAGGGCAGAAAGAACCTCTGCCAACCATTTCCAAAACAAACAAACAAAAAATCAACAATCATATAGTAAACTAGAAATAAACACAAAAAAAGTTTTCTTTCCCTTTTGTCTCAAGGGTAATTTTTCCTTTAAAGCTGAAATGAATAACATTAGGAATCATTTAGGTCCAGGCTTCTTTAATCACAAAGCCTGCTTATTTGGCAGTTTCTCAAGTTACTCCCCTCAGGCAGCTTGAACCAGTTAAACTAGATCCTTTCAGCTCTTCAGAGCTTATTGACAACCAGCCGTCTGGTTTCCTAGGAAACAAAACCTTGGCTAGAAATAGTGAATCATTTCCAGGTCACTTTCAACATGGAGAGTGGAGCAGGAAAGCACTGGACTGAGGAAGAGGTTAAAGCTTTGCTAAGTATCTGGGCAGAAAAAAATATACGAAAACAACTCTATGGAACACTGAGAAATAAAGGAATATTCATCTACATTGCTAAAAGGCTGCAAGCACTAGGAGTATACAGAGATTGGAAACAGTGCCGGGCAAAGTACAAAAATCTCAAATATGAATACAGAACGGTTAAATATGCCCACAACTCTGGAGACAGCTCTAAAACTATGAAGTTCTTCCATGATTTGGATGCGATCCTGCAGTATGAACCTGCCACACAATTAACAGAGGAAGATGCAAATGACAGGTGCCTGGCAACGCTGAGCCAAAGTACAGCCCCAGAGATCACTGAAGGTAAAAAGAAAAAGTACCATTCTTTTGTTTTTACCCAGCAAACTGTAAAAGAACCAGACTTGAGTCCATATGATAAATATAGCCTGAAATATCAAGGTTGAGAAAAATAACTGACCTGTTATGTATATGCTATTTTGCACAAGGTAAAAATTAATCTCAAAAGAGTTTAATGCCAACCATTTTAAAAACCTGTAAAATACAGAAAAAACACGTTAAAATGACACCAACTGCTAGTGCCAACTGCTCCTTACCCATGTTGATGCAGTTTTTGGAGAATGGATTGTGTTCTGAAAATATTTTAAGTCTTAATTTTATAAGAGTCGTGAAAAAAAAAAATATTGCTCAACTGTTGTTTTCCCACAGCTCCAAATAAGATAGAACTTTCTGCTCTATATTATGTTCCCATTTTCCTAAATTTATAAATAAAAGCACTAAAATACTAATAACTGATAAAGAACTTCCTTACTTGTTTGGAAGAACATCTCCATTTTAACAGTAAGTAAAACAAATAGATTTGATAGATTAAATGATTTATGATTAAATGGTTTAAATACTGGCATATCTCAGGGATATTGTGGGTTCAGCTCTAGACCTCTGCAATAAAGCAAATATCTCAACAAAGCGAGTCACACAAACTTTTTGGTTTCACAGTGCATATACAGTATGTTTACACTATACTGTAGTCTATTAAATGTGTAACAGCATTAGGTCTAAAAAAAAAACCAATGTATATACCTTAATTAAAAAATACTTCATTGCTAAAAAAATGCTAACCATCATTTTAGCTTTCAGTGAGTTGTAGCAGTAACATCAAAGATCACTGATCACAGATCACCATAATACAATTAAATAGTTTGAAACATCTTGAGAGTTACCAAAATGTGACACAGAGACCAGAAACGAGCATGCTGTTGGAAAAATGGCGCTAACAGGCTTGCTTGACACAGGGTTGCCACAAACCTTTAATCTGCAAAAAATACAATATCTGAAAAGTAATATATGCCTTATTAAAACAAGGTTCTTGAGCTGCTGTGTTGTTAAACCCAACACTATTTACATAGAATTTGCTCGCTGTGGAAGCCGAACGTATCACCAGGCAAATTGGGAAAAATCAATGGCAGTAATGAGATTTCTCCCATGGCCAAAATCTTAGCGTAGCTATTTTTAAGAACAGAGTTGTTCAATTCAATTCAAAATCTGTTTAATACCTATTGTCTGTGTACACCGTGTGCAAAGCAGTGAGTTACATGCATTCATGGATGTAACCACAGAAAGGAGGGAACTGTGAATAAATGTAACCCAAAAGAAAGTGGTAAGTGGTATAATAAAGGTACCAAATAAGAAGGGGGGTTAAAGATGAGAGATTACAGTTGAGTTAACTTGGGTTATCTGAACTTCGTGTTTAAAGCTCAATAATAAAATCCTTTGGTAAAAAATCCACCCAACTTACTGCCTTTACACTTCTAATACCAAACCAAATTCTGAGAAAGCTTTGCAGTCATTACCAAGTTAAACAGTAATTATATTATTTTATTCAGTTTATCACTCTGCACTCATCATCATCTAAATGCTTTAAGTATTGATTAACAATAAGTACATCACTCACTGAGCTTCTGAAAGGCCTTGATTTAACCACAGGTTGGTGTAATGAAGATGTGATGGTAATATCTCCACTTCTTAATGGGATCTTCTAGCCCTTTCAGCTACTTGCATGGCTCCAAACTCCCCATTTCACTCATAAGCAGAGGGCCCACAATACACCTTAACCATGTACGTTTAGGGTATGTCAAACACCCAGTTCTAAAACCAACTCTCTTCCCCCATCAAAACTGATCCTCCTACAAATTGCTTCCACCTTACTATCACTGTATTTCTGGTCACTTAAATAGAAATGTTTGAGACAACCTTGATTTTTTGTCAGTCACTAAGTCCTTAAAAAAAATCTACTGACATGTTTCATAAATTTATCTCTCTGCTCCATTTTCATTACCACCATCCAGAACTTCATCGCATGGAATATTAGGATAACCTCTTAACTGGCCTCCCCAGTTTTCAGCCCCTTCTCACATTATCTTCCACAATGCCACTGATTGTTTTTATACAATTTTTTAAATTATAAAATTACAAACAATTAGCATTTTGTTTACATTTAAAATAATCTTTAAATTATACCCAGAATTGACCATAATTTAGGGTTAAATGTTACTTAATGGTTCCATAATATTTAACTGAGTGCATATACCAGAGTTTGGGTCTTTGCCCCCTTATATAACAGATGCTGCAATCGATTACCTTTCTCTTTTTTTTGGCCACACTGCACGACTTCCGGGATCTTAGTTCCCTGACCAGGGATTGAACCTGGGCCCCAGCAGTGAGAGCGCCACGTCCTAAACATTGGACCGCCAGGGAATTCCCTACAATCAATTATCTTTTGTCCATTTTTAAAATTATTACTTTAGGATAGGCTATCAGAATTCAATTTCTGGTTCAGCGGGGGGTATAATTACTTTGAAACATATTGCTAAAATAACTGCTTTCCAAAAGAATTGTAATTTAACAATGAGACTGTCCCTTTTATAGAACCCTGTCAAGTAAGATTATGGAGTGAGGTTGAAAGGGGGAGAGACTTTGCTAATTTAATAAATAATGGAGTATGCTAATTTAATAAAGAACCGAGTACAACAGTGTATGCAATAAATAACTTTTACTTTGCATTTGTTTAATTACTAGTGCTGTGGAACATTTTCCTACATATTTATTCAGTTTTACAAATTGACTGTTCATGTCAATTGAGGTCTTCGAAAAATCTGCATGACCCCTTTGGCCTTACAAGTTTGGCTGATTTTTATGCGACCCACAAAAGTTGAAAGTTTTAATATAGTCACATAGTTTCTTTTCTAAGGCTTAGAAAGCTCTCCTTTCTCCAGGTCTAATTCATTTATAATGTCTTCTGGTGTTTTTGGTGGAAGCAGCAGAATTTTTAT